TTCAGACATGCCAATATATCTGTTATAAACAAGGACAATTCTAAATGACGTCTTCTGATAGAAGAATCCCTGCATTTAATGATGCTGAAGAACGACACGTACCACTAATACACATCCTCCATAGTTATCAGTGAAATGAAGGGATCATTATAATTAAAATCTGATCATATTTGAATTTTGAATGTTAATGCAGTGTAGCATTTATTATTCTATATTATGATCGAACGGTCAACTATTGATTTGGTTTTCTGATCATGTAACAATGTGGCTTTGTTTTCTCGTTGATGTAAGCACCTCCAAGCAGTCATTTATGTCCAGCCTTGATGATGCTACGATGTTTATAATGAAACGCATTGGCAAGAAATTTTTTCCATTTTCTGTGTTTGTAGCTCTTAGCCGTGAATCGTTCAACCAGCTGTCGAAAGATGAATTTTTGTAATTCGTTATAAATCTAAATATTGGCAGAGTTTAGTTCAAAGGAGTAGGTTATGGTTTAAAATGAATTTAAGTAAAGAATTTGTGTTGTTTTGCTGTTGATCATATTACGAAACACGTTGTCATCTAACTCATAAACAAAACGCTGTATTATGCCAACCACTATCTATCTTGTAAAAAGACGTGCTGTACTGCGTTACGATCAGTGACAATCACACACAAATTCAGTGATCTGCAAGCAACTGGGGCGGGGGGAGGCAGTATGCAGAGTTGTGATTCTGTTCGATACCTGACTGATTGACGGCTGGTGGTTAAATGACGGTTTCGTTTTTTTTCGTACAAATGACAGAAGGGCATAATTGCCCGTCTCGTAGTCTTTTTCGGTATAATTGCATGTCAGTAGCAACCGTTCCTAGTCTGGCTAACAGATCGCTAGTAGCACTATCGGCTGCCATGCGACGGCATTCGTTTCATATTCTAAAGGCTTGACGACCTTGCACGAGAGAGCCATACAAAAACTGCCATCTGGCTGTTCAGCAGTACTTTAAACAGCTGACTTAATAGTT